TAAATTAATTAATAAATAGCTGGAGAAAGAAAAAGTGACTTGAAGGACAAAACATACAAAGAGARCCCCTGATTTCCAAGACATTATGATGTGCATGTTCCCTGTTTGAAGTGGCTCTGGATAGTGCATAGTCTCTCTCTACATCTAGATGGATGGGATACCATATATTCTTCATAACCTTTCAAGATGTTCACAGATGAGGATGGGTGCAGCTAAAATACGAAGGAAATGCTTTATGAGAAAAAGCACATAGCTACATTATGTAAGGAGGAGAGACTAGGGTAAATGTAGAAAAAAACCCACAGTGGAATTCAGAAAAAATGGTCAGATTAGATCTTCATCACTKAAGCATCCCCTTCTTAATAGCTAACTTTGGACCAGCTCCCTKGCCTTACACATATGAAAAAATCCCAGTTTGCCATCCCAGTTTGGGTGATGGGAGTATGACGGAGTGAGTCAATAGGTGCCTCTGGCACGGTGGACCTTTTAGCTGCCTCACAGCCTCTGTTACAACCATGCTTTAGGTCTTTCCTTGCACCTGAGCTTTCTTCTGAGTAGATGAAGTGCCACCACTGTTCYCTTGGTCCCAGATAAATTCAGATGGAGCTGAGCAAGGGACTGCAGTAGGTCAGATTTTTGGGTTTGGAGCACAGGATAGGACAGGCTGTCCCCTTGGGTAGGGCACTACTCAGCGCTTTTCTCCATAGGAAGCTGTGTGATGGCTACTAAAAACATTTAAAGCAGTAAATCCCTGCCCAGAGGCAGGTAGCTCCTGTCCGCTTTTGTCTGGGCTGAAAAGCTCCAGCCTGTGTTTAGCCTGACAAAAGCCCATGGACTCAGCTGTGTTTGCCATCTGGCTGCTTCCTMCAGGAACAGGGTGACTGAACCAGTTGACCCGGATAGTCATGAGGTCTGGACTGACACCTAAATTGCCTAAATTGGGTAGCCAGCTTTAAAATAATTTCCTATGGCCAGAGTCCTCTTATTATTTCCTATGCCATTGCACAGCAATACGTGTTTGGAAGGTTTACTTGTCTTCTGCAAGGGCAGACCTGTTCTCTTTTCTCTTTTCTCTTTCGGGGAAGCTCAGACTTGTTCTCTTTGGAGGAAGTCACGCTTCCTCTAGGTCATGCCTTTTCCCCAGGTCATTGTGGCAGGCCCACACATTTGCCTGCATCCAGCCTGAGGCTGTTYTCTAAGGTTCCTTGCAGAGTACCTGCCACAGCAGGTATTTCAAGTCCTTTTCCTGAACCTCCAACCTAACAATCTCCACAGTTACAGCAAAAGCTCTTTGCATTTCTTTTTACTTACCCCCTCTCTATCCATATCGTAAGTTCCCCCTGTCTTTGCTTTATGACCGCTCCAGACTTTGACCAGTGCTGCTGAAATTTTCTATTCTCTGCTCAGAGCTCTCCAGTTTCATTTTTTCCAAAACATAGAATAGCACTGCAGCCCATCACTTGGTGAACAACGAATTTGCTACATCTTGTCAGCTGTGGGTGCAGCTTTTGAGATCAAATGTGTCACTTGAGCTCCTTCTGAGGAAACTTCTGCTATGCCCCCCTCCTCACTGAATGCCACCGTGGCTTCTGCCACACTCTGTGACCTGTCACATCTAATTTATGTGCTCAGCATGCTGCCCCACATCTAAGTAGTGGTGTCTGGTGTGTCAGATTGACTGGAAAATGAGTGATGGGTATGTATGTGAGATGCAGCATGGCTACAGGGCAAATCCAGACCAGAGATAATTGTGTCGCTCTTATACTCGGTGCCTGAGATTAGACAAGCTTGCCTGTCGCTGCCTCCAGATGAGTTCTGAAAAACAAAAACATTTCTGCCACTTCCCAGGATGAAAGTAGGGGAGAATCGCCATTTTCTCATTAAAAACTCCTCAACAACCAATCCCCTCACCTTCTTTTCTTTAAATATAGTGGTTTCCCAACATTTATATTGCCAAATTTGACAGGAGATTAGTTTTGTCCCAGAGAAAACAGCCGAATTTACAGCAAAGATGTGTTTYCCAGATATCCTACAAAAGTAAAATCTGATCCCAATGGGTCCAGTATTTATTGTGCAATTTAAAAATGTGGTTTATATCTCCTATGTATTTTAAATTTATATTATATATACCCTGTATGGTCACATTTAGATTGAGATTTATGAGCTCAGCTATTCTAGAACATTATTTGAATCTATTTTTTTTCATCACTATCTAATGCTCTTCTATCAGTGGGATATCCAGGAAGGCATTTCCATTTGACTGCTGAAAATGCAGCGTAGAAATTGCGTTAAATTGCCCAGTAATTTTAAAATAACAAAGAGAATTATTTTAATGTTAAAATGTCTTCTGCTTTTTCACCTGCAGAAGTGAAATCTTTCTGTCGGTTATCTTGAGTTATATTTTGCTGGAGGCCTTCCAGCACCTATAAACAGACAATTTTTAAAGATAACACCTTCTRAAGGTGGGCTGTAAAATTGCAAAGGCAATGAAACCAAAAATGTGTGGATAAATATAGTACCTGATTTCAAAACTTCCTTCCTTAGGAAACGAACTAAAGATGTGCAAGGGGAAGGATACGTGCCAAAATCACTCCCACAGTTACTCTACTTTTAGACATCTTTCCTTCCTTTATTYATGATCTCTATTTTGTCTGTGCAGAGGRTAAATTCTTGCAAGCTCTTCAAGAYTTGTATCTRAAAACAGGGCAAAAATRTGTTSCCTGATCCTTCTGTGTTTATTGAAGAYCTTCAGCTGTGGATGCCGTGGCCAACGGGAGCTTTGCATTCCTTGGTTTGCAATATTTAATTTGTAGAATAGCTGCAGCTCATGTGGGATCCTGGATTGATCAGTCAGAGAAATTTCCCATTACTCATGAAAAATTTAGTTCAAAGAAGCAATACAGGATTGGACCATTATCTATTATTAATCCTTTTTTCAAGCTAAAGTAATTATGAAATAAACAGGTTTAATTCCTGTGAATAAAATAGTCCCGAGAGTTTTCAGAAAGCATAGAATTTCTTTTGTAATTGCCATTTTGCAGAAAAATCAATAAAAAACTAGACAGGAAAAATATTTATTAGTTTTGGGTGGACTAAGTTTGTGTGTGTTTTATTTACAGGAACATTTCCTTTGAAACTCCAGATAGAACCAAGCACTCTGGAAGCTTAAAGTCRCCATGAACTCAAAATAAACTGTAACCATGTAACTTTGTCTTCATATGTATTTTATACAGTCACAATACATGTTTTTAACTCACAATGTGATATGTAAACATTAAAAAAGGTCCACATTACAGCGGGTAAGAAAAGCTGTGACTATTTCCTTGACTATTTCCTTGACTATTGCCTATGTACAAGGTATGTGTCAGGCAACAGGAAATGTCATTTGACTGGGATGGTTGTTGCTTCCACCTTTAACTGTTCTCTGTTAATTTACCTGCATCGGTTTAAACCTAATTATTAAAAACTTTAAAATTTGATTAGGTAAAGTCTGGATGTGTTCCATTACAGGGAGCTGCTTTTTTGCTTATTTATATTTGCAGTTTCAAATRGGCTTAATTCCCTTGGGTGCAATTTACTCTCAAGTGCTGCATTCAAAAAGCAAAAAGTACTAAAGTGGACATAAATTAGATTTGGCTGAGTACAAGACTCAATCAATACAGTTTAAACATTTGAATAGTTCCTGAAGTCCTGCTGGCACATCTGGGTACACACTGGGGTAAAGTTGAGGAAACAACCATTGTCTCAGGAGACCAGAGTGCCGAGGCTCCATCCAGAGTCAGAGGAGAGAGACTCTCCAAAATTAACTTCCTTGCAAAGTTTGCTTTTGTTTTTCTTTTCCTTTTTTTTTTTCTTTTTTCTTTTTCTTTWTTTTGGGAATGAGCTTGTTCCTCAGTGTTCCAATGCACTCAGCTCCCCCAGCACTGGAAAAGCATTCTGTAGTTGTCTACAGAAAAATGTATTCCCACCAAGGCTTAAATTCAAAGGTTTGCYGTTATTTTAATGTTTAAGCTTTATGTCAGAGCTCTTAAATCCCAAAAGGGCATGATACTCCAGTCCAGAACAGGTTAAAGGAGAGTACACTTTGAAGCACAGATTATAAATACTTCCACAGCAGAGTTGGATTTGCCCACACACTCTAAATACTAGCAAATTCATGGTAATGAGAGACTCTTGTACCATCACTTGGAAACTGCTCATTTATATCTGCTTTTCCTGTTTACCCAGTTCCACTCCATTTGTCAAAAAAACCAAAGAACCACATCAGCAATCAGCACACTTTTTAAAGAGCACAAAATCCTGCTTCTGATTATTAGCATAGGAATGAAGCCATTTTATCAAAATGGTTAAGTACYTGGAAGAAATAGTCTTGAAGGAACAAATCCTACCACTTAAAGCTTCATCGAGTCATTCAGCAAGGCTTCTCTAGAGTCCCATTCCAAGTATGACCATGGCTTATGCTACACCAGGCAGGCTTTATCTAGTCTTGAAAAGATCCTAGGACAGAGATACAAAGCACAGTCCTAGTGCTGCTCTATTTCCAMWGGGTAGCCAGCCTTAGTAGAAAATRCTTTTGGTGGTTCAGCTGTGCTATGTAAAGCTTCTTCACCTCAAGCAAGTTCTGTGTACTGGAATAACTTGAGTGAAAACATTGTACATTTGCACAAAATGCCATACCTGAAAAGCACCTGCAGATGATCTAACATCTGTTAAGGRCTAAATGCTAACTGTGTCCCCTTTCTGCATTTGCTCCAAACTCCACTGGGACTCTGATTCATGCTGTCATGCAGTGTGGTCTCTGCAGAGCTTCCCCTAGTGCCTAATGGAGATGATGAAAGCCTTTTCACTGCATTTGATCACTTTTTGGTTTGCATTTATTTTGYTTCTGGAATTACAGTGTTGATTATCATTGCTGATCCTTCACCAGTAGTCCCAGGTTGTTAATGCAGTCAGTACAGCAGCTCGCTTGTTAAATTTCATCTTTTATCACCCTTCCCTAGGTTGGAAAAATCCACAAGAATGCTGCCCGCAAAAGGGAATACCGCGTCCTGTTCATGGTGATCACTACAGTTATCTGTTATYTGGTGTGCTGGATTCCATATGGGGTTATAGCATTACTTGCAACGTTTGGTAAGCCAGGTGCTGTGACTCCAGTTGCAAGCATCATACCTTCCATCCTAGCAAAAAGCAGCACTGTTTGCAATCCCATCATCTACATACTTATGAATAAGCAGGTAAGACATATATTAGTTTTAAATTGTATTTTTTTCAGGGTCCATCAGACATTCTTGACCATTGTGACTACCAGTCCTATAGATGTATCTCTAAGAACATTCAAAGCTTTTCCAAATAATRCTAYTGGAGTCTTGGGATAGAAATGTTTGCAAACAACAGCATATTGCTGGACAGGTAGAACAGAAAAATATTTGCTTAATGAAATTGCAATTCTGACGGCACATTGCATATTAATTTGGATCCTTCAAAGTTAGTTGCCAAAGGTATTTATAAGGAGAATACTTAAACATTTGGTGAGGTTGAGCAATGGGAGGAAAGATGGACAAGAAGACAAAGGGATWTCATGACCTTGAAAACAAAATTAAGGAGGATACCATTTGCAAGTACCATTTACATGATAGACCCTCTTGAAACCAAGTTATCATTGCAGTTACTGTTTTTGTGGACATCTACATCCTTGTTGTTAAAATCAGTTCAGCTACATGTCCAAATAGATAATGAAGTTTGTTTCACAAGCACAAACGCATATTCTAAAAAGACCTAGATCCAGCTCAGGTTTCTCATTCCTGTAAATGCCATTTTCAGTACTCAAAAGTGAGCCTCTTAGTGTTTCTGGTTGATGATTCTGACTCTCAAGTTTGATAATGGCAGTCCTGGAAGTTTTAAAGTGTTTCGGAGTAGGAAATRTGAAAATTATGCAGTTTATGAAAACTTTTTTTTTAAAAAATAGAATATATTTTAGAAGTGGTTCTCAGTTTTCTTTCTTCATTATGTCCATTACATTATTACAAAGCAAAGAAACCCTTTATCTTTTCTTGTTCAGTGTATGCTGGAGCCCATCCTTAGTATTTATCAACAGCAGCATTATTATGAAGSTGAGACAAGGAAAGAGTTAAATCTAATAGCCAAATATATTCAAGTTTTGCCACAGCCTGAGATCATTCTTGGCCCACTTYATCTAAYCTAAAGTTCTTAAACAACAAAAAARTCTRCTCTTGGAGTCTGAGGGAAAAATATCAAGCAAGCTGTGAAACCTCCCTGGAATCAGAAAGAAAAAGTTCTATCACCTTCCCGAAGACCAGGGCTTCATTTCCAAAGTCTAGTGTGAGCTGACATTGAAACAAATAGAACTTTCTATTTGAAAAGTGTTAATGTTGAAGGAAACCAGTAACTTTTCCCCTCACCTTCTACCATTCTTAAGAAAATGTCTCAACAGCAGCATCTGTCTCCTTTAYTCTCTGAGTACTTYGAGGTYCTTGATTGTGCWGTGATCAMTGGAGCAGATTATATAATGTTGATWACAGATATATTTTGGTATTGTCTTTACACATAGAGATTTGATGAGCCATCCTGAAAGGGAAGAGCTTGGTCAGATTTGAGATAGATGCTTTTTACTAATGAAACCAAAATGATAGCTGATGCGCAGCATTAACCTGCAGCTCTCCTTTGCTGTGCCACTGTGTACGAGGAGTGAAAATAATTGGTTTTAACTGACACTGAGGAATGTGCTTCAGTCAAAAAAGGGTGAAACTCATCCCTTGGTCTGGTCCTCCTCCTTTCAGAACAGAAACAACAGTAAACCCCCTGTTCAATGCATCACTGATATTCCTGGCACCTCTGTAGTTGTTCTCATGCTTTCTTGTAAATTTAACACCTCAGGAAAAGAAGTTGTTAATCTTCCCAGCACTCAGCTTTCCTGGTCTTCAAGCTTAGCTGAGAATTGTCACAGAAGGCTGGTGCCTCCCAACACAGAAATTATCTGGCCTGCATTTTTCACAGTCCTCTCTTTGCAGATGTGAGGTACCACAGTAGGGTATTTACTCCAGTGCCTTATAAATACACAAAACACATGGCATAATTTTTAGCTCTCTATGAATAAGCCTTTTTGCTCTGGGAAATGCCCTGAAGATTGCAAAACAGMATTGGTTGACTTGCAGCTGTGGTGTTAGCGACCAGCTATCATAAATCTTTGCAGAGTAGTGTGGAACTATCAGCCTCTGGGKCAGCCTTAAAACTCATCCTGCAGAGCACATCTTTAAATTGATTCTCAAGCAGCCCCTGAGTCACTTTCATGGTCCTGGAACTCCAGAGAAAGGGTTTTGTCTTTGGCATTACCTCCTGCACTGACCTGCAGTGATAAATCACTGAGGAAAAGATTGAATTTCTTTCTAGCTGCAGGAACTGCCTCAGGTGGGATGTCATGAGGTTGCTGCTGTGCTTCTTCCTGTGCTGTCCTCCAGGAGGAGAGAGATGCACTRTTTAAGGCTGGGCTGTTGCTGGGCTGATGATAACATTCCAGGCAGACAGCAAGCTCCATTGACAAAACTGTTAAGCACTAAACTACCTGAGACAAAATGATGCTGGGGTGAAGCTGGAGGAGACAGCACATGTTACATGCAAGCAAATATTAAGCATTCACCCAGGAGACAGGGAATTTCCCTGTAGCCATGGGTTTGCTGCCAAGGAGATGAGCATCCTGCTTTTTRTATGTTCCACAGAACAGCACAGGAACCCCAACATGGAAGAGCTTTMTGGCTAGTGTAACTGTGCATGAGGATATACTGCACTGAGAACCAGGGATTATTGGCTGGATTATGGTGTATCAGCTTCAGAGGTTAACCCTGTTTTACATACCAGAAAGTCATTTTTTATTGATGCAGAACTCAAGATATTCATAAGTGTTCAAGAAAGTGTGGTTATGGATGAGATCACAGTGAGATTGACTGAATCTCCACACATTTTTAATTAATTTAATTTAATTTAATTAATTTAATTAATTTAATTAATTTAATTAATTTAATTAATTTTAAATTTAATTTTTAATTTTTAATGTCATTTAAAGATGGAACTCAGAGAAAACAGAAATTTTCTGCATTGTTACTGACAGCCAAATTTGAGTAAAGTTTAAAACTGCATCGCTCATAGATCTAGAGAACCAATGGTTCAAAAACTATTGATAAGATTACAAGTCAAACTTTGCTGATCCAAAATAGCCTTGTTCCATGGCAGCTCATGAGATTTACACCAATTTCTTTAACTTTTTTAGTCACTCAGGTAGTGCACTGAAGACTCCCTGGAGTACTGAAACTCAGGCTAGCACATGTGATACTCTTTTGTGTATTACAATTGGAGAAAAAGTCCATCACCAAAACCATGCGATCGGTAATGTGCTATTTCTGGTGAGAAAGTGCCTCTGTAGCAATGTTGGGAATAGATATATTGGGAGCAGCCCTGTGGAGAAGGACTTGGCAGRACTGGTGAGTGAAAAGCTGGACATGTCCTGTCAGTGAGCACTTGCAGAAAGCTGATTGTATCCTGGGCTGCATCCAAAGCAGTGTGGCCAGCAGGGACCCTCTACTCTGCTCTGGTGACACTCTACCTGGAGTACTGCATCCAGCTCTGGGTCCCAGCACAGGAAAAACATGACCCTGTTGGAGCATGTCCAGAAGAGGGTCATGATAATGGTCAGAGGGATGRAAGTTTTCTCTGCGGAAGAAAGGCTTGGGAGAGTTTGGGTTGTTCAGCCTAGGGTAGAGAAGGCTCTGAGGAAATCTTCTTGTGGTCTTTCAGTACTTAGAGGGGGCTTAAAAAGGAAGACAGAAACTTTTCACCAGGGTCTATRGTGAGKAAAAGGGGCAATGGTTTTAAACTGAAAGAAGATAGATTTATACTGCGTATGAAGAAGAAATTTTTGTTACGATGAGAATGAAAAGACATTAGAACAGATTGTCCAGAGAAGTGTGGATACCCTGTCATTGAATTTTTCTAGGCCAGGTTGGACAGGGCCTTGAGAAACATGATCCTGTGAAAGATGTCCTGGCCTGTGGCAGGATGGTTGGAACTGGAAGGTCTTTAAAGGTCCCATGCAACCCAACCCATTACAACATTCTATGATACAGAAAGTAGTCTTGTCATACAACACACTTAATAGRTCTTTTCTTGTCTCTTCCACTTATTCACTAAACCTGGATGCACTCACCTCTTTCTTCAGAGGTTTAAGTGAGCAGTGTAATTTAGAATAAGCCCCTAGGCATGATGCAGGTAAGCATTTTGATCTATTAGGACTAGCCAAATTTCAAAACAAAAATACAGCTATACCTCAGCTTAGCAGGTCATATCCACACTAGTGCAGTTTCATTGTGATTAGCTTAGAAAAGAGGGACCATTGCCTCTTTTATTCTATTTCCTGACAAGCTTGTAGGCAATTCTGGTCAGAACGGGCCACAGTCACACCTATTCTAACAGMGACAGGGAAATAAATCAGCATTAACTGCAATGATTAAATGACAAGAGATTTACATTGTTGCATGTTTGAGGGCTAGCAAATAAATATCTCTAGGAGAAGATTTGACCTCTAGAATCATTGTCACTACCCAAAAGGTAATAAAACAATAAACTGTTTAAGGATTCCAAGAAACTGWAGGGTTACACATCTCAAATTTTCTCCAGTGCAGGGAAAACAGCTTTAGACAAATCGTTTGCCCTTGCCTCTTGTGATCAGCCTACAGTTCTGGCAGTTTCAGAGCTTCGTTTACAATCAGCTGTTTTTCACACACTTCCACCTGTGTCATTAAACCTGCAGGGTAGATTGATAGATAAATTCCAGTTTTCAGAGCTCACTGTAGAGCAAGAAATGTGGTATGTTCACAGCTAAAAACAAGGTGTTAGGGTTTTTGTAAGCAAGGTCCCTTGGTAGCCTGCTTACTCTTGCAAGCAGACATCATAAAAAAGTCTCAGCTAAAGTGATATTTCTTTGCTGGCTTCACAGGTACATCAGTCCTCAAGGGAGAGTCYAGATGGTCAAGAGCTCAGCCAGTCCTAAGAGAAATACAGAGGGAAAAAAGGATAAAATATTAGCAGTTGTACTGTTTCCCACTTTCCATTACTTCATTATGATGGAGAACTCGGGTGAAAGCACTTGGCAGGTTTTTTTTTGTTTGGGTTTTTTTTTTGGGGTTTTTTGGTTTTTTTTTGTTTTTTTTCTGAACTGATCTCCAAG